CCACACCTCAACTTTTTGCTGCTTGTGAAGTATTCATATATTAGGTTTTTGCTATTAAATCAACGGTTGTTTCATGTTTGGAACCTTTGTAACACACCACTTAAGAGTAAACCAATATCCTCTTTGAGATTTGCTATCATTCTAGAACGACTTGAAGTTAGCATTAGTGTATCGATGAACTCTCAGTTCATTTTCTCCATATAATTTTTTTTCAAGATTTTATCTATGTACAATGGGATAAGTTAATCAATCTTCTAGATCTATCTTTATAGATCAAGTTGCTTCACACATATCTTTTATGGAGATATTATTTGAAAACCATTATTTCAATAATTAAAATATAGGGATGTCGTTTCTTATTAATATGTTATCTACATATAATATTAGGAATACAACAACGCTCTCACTATCTTCTTATAAACACACGGATCTTCGTCATTTTTTGATAAAATCAAACTTTTTGACATTTTCATTAAATCAAAGATTTCAGCTCCAAGAGTTTTATTTCAATCCATATAAGAAATGATCAAGCTTGTATAAATTGTAAGCATATTTGGATTCAAAACTTTCGAATTGTGTCATGTACACTTTCTCTTGCAAGTTCTTGCTAAAGAGTATAGTTTTGACATTCTTTCCCCATAACTCATAGTCATGATATACAGCTATTGCAAGCATAATCCGAATGGACTTTTAGCATGGCTATAGGCTAAAAAGCTTCATCAAAGTTAACTTTCGTCTTTGTATGTAATCATTTTGTTATTAGCCTTTGTATGTATGTTGTTTCCATCCACGTCGACCTATTTATTGTAAACTCATTTACAACCTATGAGTTCTACCCCATCAGGATGGTCGATCAAGGTCTAAACCTTGTATACATACTTGAGTTCATCTCGAATTCTATGGTATCTTGTCATCTCTTTGAGTTAACAATTGACTTTGTTTTTGCGAACTTGTAGGTTCCTTATCCTCGATTAGTAATGCTTGATTAGTAATCATGGATTCTACCTTCTTGAATTTCTTATATGGATTTTGGATATTCCTTTTCAATATACTTTCTCTATTAATTATTGTGATGATGGCATAACTCAAAGAATGAGAAGTTGCATATGAATTGGGGGCCATAACCCTATATATAGTTTCCATATGTATTTTGCCCATCATGAAATATAATTTTAAAGAAATCTGGTCTCTACACATATAATCCAACCCATACTTTATTTAAATATCCTAAACACAATTACTTAATTCTTTATTAGATTACTTTAATTTTGAGCTTAACTTTAAAATAGCATTTATACACAGTTAGTTACATATGTCGGTCCACATGGCAAATTAATAATTTCTCAACACTCAAGTGTTTTTTTGTTGATTTTATATTCCGCAAGTGTGTGGATCGTAACAAGTAATAAAGTGTACCTATGATTTCGGATATCATTCCCACGAGAACTACTATCTAACAATTGATTTAATTAATCCAACTTTACTTTGATCGAAAACAAATAAAATGGTTTTTTTTTCTTTTTGTGATTTTCTATTTTAAATACACTAAAACAATTAAAAGTGGTTTTTTAATATGATGGTTTAAGTGTTAGGATTCATAATTTTACCATAGTTATCCCATTAATCTCAATTATCAAGTTTTATGCAAATGATTATTTTATCCGATCGAATTCTTCTAGTGTACTCAATTTACCCATCTCGAGTTCTTATTGAATCTATTTAACTAATTTAATATCATATCTTTAAGTGAATCAATCTTAGTTAAATGCACTTAAGTTCTAATCATTCATGTAACGATCGCAATAACTATCATAAGTATCTTTAAGCTTTATACTAATTACCGACTTTTACTATGTGGTCTAAATGAATAATCAACATCTCTACATAATTATTGCTCACAAAATCAATGAATTAGTGACCAATTAATCCAAGCATTAAGAATAGAATAAAAAATAATTCATAAAAGCAATTGGATATTTAAGACTTTTTAATTAAATTTAAAGTTCAAAACTAGGTTACAATCTTTCATCATAACTAAATACTTAATTACACATCATAGTAGAAGAATAAAACAAGAAGGAATTAAAGTAAATCACCGAGTATTAGGGAAAAATGAGAAAAAGATGAAGATCTTGCACCAAGATTTGTTTCTCATGTAAAATCCTTGAAACCCTGGCTCCTTGATTGATTTCTTGATTTTTGTTTCCCCTCCTTTTAGCTTGAATAATATATGTACAATGATCCCCTAGCCTTGGCTTAAATGTATTTGTAAAATTAAACTCCACAAGCCCCTTATTTGTTGGACTAAGGTATGTATTTAAAGCAAAAATTTATGCAAAATCCTTGTTCAACTCGATTTCCACCCAAGCGTTTAAATTGGTTTCTACTAAGGAGTTCAAATTGGTTTCTACCAAAGAGTTTAAGAAATATAAGGAAACAAATTTCTTTTTCAATTGAACTCATTTTCTCATGTAACTTTATTCCTCCATCTTCTTTTATTTTCCAATTAAGTCATCTTCATTTCAAAATCATAATAGTTGACCTGAGACAAGTTTCAAAGTTTGCAAGGCAGTCCTCAAACTTTTTAAATGTCAAATTTAACTCCCAAAACTTATGAATTTTTACCGTATGCTCCATTAATATTTCCAATTGATCTCTTGCAATCCGGTTAATCTTCAATTGTTTCAAATGAACTCCAATTAAGCTCCAAATATTCTCTTTTCATATAAATTGTATCCAAGTTGGGATTGACCTACAATTTATATATTTTACACAAATTAAGTAGATAATCGCTCAATTTATATATTATTAAATAAGAATAGAAATTTGAATAAACACATAAAACGCACTTAGGTATATAGCTACCCTATTCTTTGGGGGCAAAACTAAATGTTTCTTCAACTTGTTTTATTGCTTTATATATGTTAGAGATCAACATGGAGAAGTTGTTGCCGCATATTTAAAACAAAATTAGGGCAGGTTCTCTTTGTCTTTTTCGGGCCGTTTTCTGTTTTCGATTTTTCAAAATGGTGAAAGCGTGTTCTCTTTCCCCTTTTTGAAAACAAAACATGAAAATTTTGAAAACACGGGAAACAGAAGCAGGAAACATCGGATCTATTCTCTCTTCACAACCTTCCCCTCTCCTCAACTGAGCTATAAATCACCACCTTTCGGCTGCAAAAACCATCGGATCTAACCACCACCAGACTCACCTCATTCCTCTCTATAATCTCCAACCAACCACTAGCCACAAATCCAGCCCAACAAACAATCGATTAACATCATTCTGGCGACATTGAATCAATCGATTAACATCAGGTTAGTACTGATCATGTCCCTACAACCATGGATAACACTTCAATTTCATCACTTCATGTAGAAATCATTGTCGAAATAGGTATTAATGCACTGGCCACTAGCTGATTTTGAGCAGAAATTTTAGCTAGTTCAGCCGGAGTTAGGGCCAACTATTGGGTGGGGTTTGTAGATGACATTACGGGCTTCAAGTTGGTACTACGATCCGGTGGCCAAAAAGTGGTGTTTTGATCCTCCATAGGTGGCGGTATTGAGAGGTGGGGTTTGTAGATCAACGTGTGTTTTGATCCTCCAATTGTGGCAGTGGTTGATGGTTCATGGTGGTGGCAGTGGGGTTGATTTTGGTTGATTTCGACAATGGTTGATGGTGATGGTGGTAGTGTTGATTTTGGTTGGCAGTGGTGAGTGGTGGTGTTGATTTTGGCAATGGATTGGATCTGGTGGTGGCGGCTTTATGGTGGTGTTGTGGTTCTTAAAAATTTAAAGTGGCGGTGTCGTGGTGTTGCACATTTCTTGTTTTGAGAAACAATTTGTTAGAATAACGAAAAAAACGTATTTTCAACAATTTCAAAACAAACACTCAAAACACAAAACCCAAAATGAATTCAAAACTCAAAATTACAAAACTGAAACACGAAGAGAACAACCTCTTATTGTTTCTTTTTCCTGTAAAATGTTGGTTCTTGGGGTTTCTTTGCTAGGTTATGACACGTGGCATCATGTGGTGAGTTGAGATGCTTGCAAAAGGATCTCAAACATCCATTCATCATAGAGATGGTTCCAAGTGTAGTGGGTACAACAAAACCATAAATTCGAGAGACATAAGAAATTGTTCGAATATGATACAATTGTTGGTTAAAAATGTGAAAAGATAAGCTAACATTGTAAGCAAGGCCCTTCACGGTCTGTACTACTAGGCAAGCCTATCCTATGCACTGCCGGCCATTGGCTCAGGACAACCCTAACACCAATTTTATTGGACGGGGCGATTCGATTTTCTTTGACACCCCAAGGATGAGGATAGTTTCAATTTTCTTTAGAACTTAATATAATGTTATATGTTATTTGGACTACATATGGCACTTATCATAGTTGGACGTGGTGTCAATTATCGGACGATGCCTTATAAATAAATATATTAGTCGAGTTGAGGAATTCCTTTGTTTCACAATTAGGGTGTTGATCATGAGATGAGATAGGTGTCCATATTGTACATGTGACGATGTAGCATATCCCCTATGATCTTATAAAAAATGAATAATACTATTCATCGGCAGTGTTGGTGAAACACATTTCTAAGGCTGCATAAATTCCTTGAAAACTACATATAGAGCACATTACCAAATAACTTAATAATTATGTAAAATGACAATCATACAAGTTCTAAAAATTCTTGCTGAAGCAAGAAATTTCCATATATATAAGATTTTATCATTCTTTGAAGTTGTAATAAATTCTTCCTTGTTTCCTTTTCTTGGAACATACCATGGAAACTATCATGATATTCACTAGCAAATCTTTATAACATGGAAAATTTAAAATTTTCCATATATAAAGGGATCTAATGCTCTAGCTTTTCTGCTATACACTCAGAATTGGCAGGCGAGTTTTCAATCAATATTCAAGTGCTTCAACACTCCTTTGTCCCTTTTCTCTCTCAGAAAATCCAACTTCGCATTGTAGCCATGGCATTCGTTATAGCATCCGTAGTTTTCTTGTTGATAGTATCGACTATTTTCGGGGCATCCATGGCTACGGTACATCAGGTTGGAGATTCCAATGGTTGAAATGCCTTTGAAACTGATTACAAAAAGTTGGCAGCTACCGCCTACCAAGAACTTCCAAGTTGGTGACTTCTTAGGTAAAATCCATAATGGCATTGTTTTGTCTAAGCAGTGAGACTTTCTTGTTCATTTAACTCTTATCCACATAAAATTTTCTGCTGACTGTTGATTGTGCTCTGTGCAGTTTTCAACTACAACCCTCAATTTCATAATGTTCTACGAGTGTCAGCCCAAGATTATGCGACATGCACATCCTCAGCACCACTTTCCAGCTTCAACAGTGGAAGCGATTCAATCCCGCTTCCGGCCTTTGGAAATTTTTACTTCATCTGTAGCTTCCCAGGCAACTGCCAAGCTGGACAGAAAATTTTTATCATGGTCCCAAGCAACCCTTCTACACCGGGCAGTACGTAACACTCCCCCTACAGGCGGTGGCCAAAATTTTCCAGGGCGTGATCCTACAAAGACTAATAGTGTGACTTGTCGTCTTTCCTCCAGCAAACTTGGACTTCTGATTATTCTGGACTCGTTGCTATTGGACTTCTACCTGCACTAAGAGAAAGTTAGTTTTTTGGTTTTTACATGTAGGGATATCAAAATTAATAGGAGTTTATGTTGAAATTTATAAATCAAAGAATGGAACTTACCGGATTTGATATAAACTAACAGGTTTTAACACTCCTTACCTTTTAATGCAACTCACCGGATATACACTGAACTTACCGGATATACACTTGGCTTACCGTATATGCAAAGCACTTACCGGATTTACCAAAGGAAATTCTGTTTTAATGTAAAACAGAATGCTTACTACATTTACACTGAAGTTACCGTATTTGCACTCATCTCACTGTATATGCGTAATTGCTCACCGGGATTGCTACTGTCATGTTCTGTTTTTCTGCCCAAGTAAAAATACTCCGTTTTGCTGGGAGTTTAAGAAAGAAGATTGAAACACTATTTCATTCCAATACATGTTGAGTTTATATAGATTACAACGACGCTTTTTCCACCTCTTAATCTANGTTTGGTTTGGTTTAAGAGCTAGATTGGATCGGTTTGGGTTGAAATTTACCTAAACCGACTAATTTGGTTCTAGTTTTGGGTTGGGGTTGAAACCGACCCAAACCAAACTGCGCCCAGGCCTACATGGGATAGGTGTCCATATTGTACATGTGACGATGTGCCATATCCCCTATGATCTTATAAAAAATGAATAATACTATTCATCGACAGAGTTGGTGAAACACATTTCTAAGTCTGCATAAATTCCTTGAAAACTACATATAGAGCACGTTACCAAATAACTTAATAATTATGTAAAATGACAATCATACAAGTTCTAAAAATTCTTGCTGAAGCAAGAAAATTCCATAAATATAAGATTTTATCATTCTTTGAAGTTGTAATAAATTCTTCCTTGTTTCCTTTTCTTGGAACATAACATGGAAACTATCATGATATTCACTAGCAGATCTTTATAACATGGAAAATTTAAAATTTTCCATATATAAAGGGATGTAATGCTCTAGCTTTTCTGCTATACATTCAGAATTGGCAGGCGAGTATTCAATCAATATTCAACTGCTTCAACACTCCTTTGTCCCTTTTCTCCTTCAGAAAGTCCAACTTCGCATTGTAGCCATGGCATTCGTTATAGCATCCGTAGTTTTCTTGTTGATAGTATCGACTATTTTCGGGGCATCCATGGCTGCGGTACATCAGGTTGGAGATTCCAATGGTTGAAATGCCTTTGGAACTGATTACAAAAAGTGGGCAGCTACCGCCCACTAAGAACTTCCAAGTTGGTGACTCCTTAGGTAAACTCCACAATGGCATCGTAGTGTCTAAACAGTGAGACTTTCTTGTTCATTTAACTCTTATCCACATAAAATTTTCTGCTGACTGTTGATTGTGCTCTGTGCAGTTTTCAACTACAACCCTCAATTTCATAATGTTCTACGAGTGTCAGCTCAAGATTATGCGACATGCACATCCTCAGTACCACTTTCCAGCTTCAACAGTGGAAGCGATTCAATCCCGCTTCCGACTTTCGAAAATTTTTACTTCATCTGTAGCTTCCCAGGCAACTGCCAAGCTGGACAGAAAATTTTTATCATGGTCCCAAGCAACCGTTCTACACCGGGCAGTACGTAACACTCCCCCAATAGGCGGTGGCCAAAATTTTCCAGGGCGTGATCCTACAAAGACTAATAGTGTGACTTGTCGTCTTTCCTCCAGCAAACTTGGACTTCTGATTATTCTGGGCTCGTCCCTGTTGGACTTCTACCTGCACTAAGAGAAAGTTAGTTTTTTGGTTTTTACACGTAGGGATATCAAAATTAATAGGAGTTTATGTTGAAATTTATAAATCAAAGAATGGAACTTACCGGATTTGATATAAACTAACAGGTTTTAACACTCCTCACCTTTTAATACAACTCACCGGATATACACTCAACTTACCAGATATA